TGGTAGTTGTGTACATGAGAAGAGTGAATAAACAACACAGCAGGTGGGTTTAGAAGGAAAATTCCATTTGGGACACTGAGTTCTCTATTAGGAATCACGAGGTCTGGATTGAGGAATGGAAATCTGGAGATCGCAAATAAGTTACCACATCTCCTGAGAGAATTTTGAGATTATAATGTCTACATCCATTCTAACATCTATTTTGCCTTTTTGAACCTTCAGCTGTCTGAAAGGAATATGAGGACAGTATGAACAAAGAAATAAAGGTCAAAGGGAAAGACATGCTGTTTCGGTCTAAAGAATTCAGGAGAGGTCAGGAAGTGAGAAGACATTAGGTCCTCCTTTCCAAGAACAGAGGAAAAGAACTTACATGGCTTAAACAGCATCAGAGGAGGAAAAGACTCCATCCTCTTTCTTTACGTGCCACATCTTGCCCAATTTTTGGAACCCCTAGAGGTAAGTGCAAAATATCTCGGCTTAGGCAAGACCCTGAGATCTCACACGTTGTTTCTCAGTCTCCCTTCCCAGGGCCAGGATGGAGCCACGAGGGTGGCAAACGTGCAAGAGGCATCCCACTAAGCAGTGTAGCCAGCGCTGATGCCTCCTAAAATCCTCTCCAACCATGAATACGTCAGAATCAGGGTGCTGCATTAATGATTCTCACTCCCCCGTTCTTGTTCTCAAGCCTGATTGTTCTGTGAGATGCTGCATGTGCCAGCTCAGTGTTGTCTTCCTTTAAATGCTCGACGAACCAGGTTTGCAGGGAAGTATTAAGGAAAAGGTTTTCTTCTTTTGATTCTTTTCTCCGTTTTTCTTCTGCTTCAGCCCCACCCGCCCCCCTGTCTGCAGAGGCAGCTGTGAGTGAGCAGCTGCATTCTTGCCAGCTCTGTGTGTGGCTGTGGTGGACGGATGTGGGTCATTATCCCATGGCCAAGAGGCTTCTCTACAAATGTGGAAATGGAGTCTCAATTTCATCGAAGCATACTAGTACCCAGCAAAGAGCAGACTCAGGAACAGCAGTTAATAAGATGGAATCTTCCAGAAAATTAATCCCAACTAACAAGTTAAGTACATTAGGAAGCCCCAAGGGTTGGTTTACCAAAATATGTCAGCAGCCTCATTCATTGTACTCTTCCTTCTGATACTGGTATGGAATAAAGTGGAAGGAGGGCAGACAAATTATTTTAGCTTCTGAGTGCAGTACACAAAGCACTGAGATTCACACACACGCACCCCCAAACATTAAAAGTTCCCTCATATTACTTAGCAATAACTGGCCAAATTAATTGGTTCTAGATCTCAACATTATTACTTCCTGGAGGAATCTTAGCATGGAGTTAGTCAGTATTCTTGGCAATACATTATACACACAAGGATTTGAGACAAAATGAGAAAAGATTAGCTTTATTATGTAATTTTTTCAATTGTAATCAATTTCCCCAGTCACAAATGGAGAACCCAGGAACCTGTAGCATTGCCTTCAAGACTGGGGAGGCAGAGGAAGAGTATGTGCCTGATGTGTATATGTGGGGTGTGTGAGCATGTGTGGTGAGTGTGGTTTGTGTCTGTGGTGTGTATGAATTTGTGGAGTGTGTGTGGGGGGTGTGTGTGTGTGCTGACAGCTTCCTTTTCTTTTCTATGGAATCGCAAAGATAGTGAGCATAACTGTTCCCCATAACACCTTTCTGTCTTGGAGCAAAAGATCGATGAAAGTAAAGAGGTAGATATATAGGAAAGAAATTAGGCAAAATAAATTAATTCTAAAATTATTGAAAAGTAGACATTACGGCAAATATTTTCTTCTTTTGAGCTGCGTCATTGGGACTTGAGCAAATTGGAGCCAGAGATAGAAGGATCATAGTGTGGCCTCAATAGCAATGCAATGGATTTTATCTCTCTAGTATGTAATCTTGTTAGGATTCCCCAGGGAGATGGCCAGAAAAATAGCAGAAATAAAAAAAGAGCAAAGGGACCTTCAAGTTAGGGGAATAATGTTTGGTAAACAACTCTGTCCTCCGCTCTCAATGTGGATTCAACCAAGCATAGTGCATAGAGACAGAGGCAGTATGAGATGTGGGCTGCCTAGACATTTTTAGAAATAAGTAGGTATTTAAATAGTAATTGTTAAACTGATTTACAAATTTGGGAGGTCACATGTCTTTCAGATTTGATTCTGTTAGATTTGTTTCTATTAGCAACTTAGCCACATTAAAAGTGTTGACACGAGAAGGCACCATTTATGCCCATGCTTGCATTATTTTAGTGCACTTTCACATTAGTATACATTTTTATTTTCCTGCGTAGTAGCCTAAATGAGATAATACTTCTCTTAATTCAGGAGGCAACTTACGAATCCCGTTCAATTTATAGTATTTTTAATAAAAATATTTTCTCCTAAGAAGTGTGCTCCTGTAATGCTACTTGACTGTAACCCAAAAGAATCATAAAAATAGGCCGGGCACGGTGGCTCAAGCCTGTAATCCCAGCACTTTGGGAGGCCGAGACGGGCGAATCACGAGGTCAGGAGATCGAGACCATCCTGGCTAACACGGTGAAACCCCGTCTCTACTAAGAAATACAAAAAACTAGCTGGGCGAGGTGGCAGGCGCCTATAGTCCCAACTACTTGGGAGGCTGAGGCAAGAGAATGGCGTAAACCCGGGAGGCGGAGCTTGCAGTGAGCTGTGATCCGTCCACTGCACTCCAGCCTGGGCAACAGAGCAAGACTCCGTCTCAAAAAAAAAAAAAAAAAAAAGAATCATAAAAATAAGGTGAGCTTGCCAAGGTAATCTACAAAGCAGAATTGTAGCACGCCAGAAACTGGGTGCTCCCAGGTTCAAGACAGTTTTGAATCTTGGCTCTACCATTGACTTGCCATAAGAACGTAGGTAAATTACTGAATCTCTTTGTGTTCTTGATTAATCATCTGTAACAAGGCGGTGTTTATACCTCTCCTGCTGGGTGAGAAAGCTCAGTAAATAAACTAAGGGAGATCATCTACAAGTTAGTTCATGGTCAATAATACTAGCAATATGGTCCAAAATGTTCTTTTTGTTGGTAAGAAAAGTGAAGACCAAAACAAAACAGCAAAGAGAAGTAGAGGCTGGCCTAACTCCCAGTCCAAACCAGACCCTGAAGGAAAGTTTTCACCCAACCATATCACAACCAAGACAAAGTAAAGACATCTTTCTCTTCATGTGAGACCTTCAATCAAAGATCAAAATCTTCATGATTACCAACGACCTAATGTACGCTTAGATTTACATTTCCTAAGAACAGATCATGTGACTTCCCCTCCTTTCAAAGGGACATAACTATTCTTCACACAATTTCCGCAAGTTGTGTATTAATAATAATGAAGTAAGAGTCACAGCTCAGGGTATAACTCTTATAATGAGTTGAGGCAGAAAAGTCCCCAAACAAATGGTGTGAGTAGAGGGACACAGGAGAGGCTGGCTCACTCTCAGGACAGGGTTGTGAAATCCGTCTTTCGGGAATGGCAGTTGCCCTGAGCAAGGGGTCCTCTTTCCACATTTGTAGTCCCCCACTGGAGTTCAAATTAAATTAGGTCTCACTTAAATTGGATTTTCTCCCATTACATTAGCATTTCCACAATCTTGCCAACATTTGGCAACTTGCTAATTAGTAAGAGGATGACTCTGGACTGGAGAGTTAAATCACATTTTCCTGCTGCTGAATAGGCCTGGTCCTGGCCTCTCAAGGAATACTTTCTTGGGTGTTCATTCAGTTTTTATTCCGGTGGGCATACCTCAGTTGGCAAATTTAATCCACCCACAAGAAATTGACATTACAATGACTTTTTCACTAATCTGAAGAAATGGAAATTTAGAAATATGCCAAAATGTTTCAATTCCTGGGTATTACTTCAGTATAAGTGAATCAGGAAAACAGTTAACAAGTCAGCAGCTGACTTATACTTATGCTTATACTTATACTGAGGTAATATCCAAGAATGATTTGTATCTTTGATAAATAGCAGAAACAAGCTTCAGAAAATTAATGTAAGACAAGGATAATTCTTTCTCAAGAATTGTGTTCCAGGATTGCAAAGGGCCGAACCTGAAAATATTTATTTTCCTAAGGCTCTTTCATCTTCCCATTATACAGAGCTTCAAGTGTATCCAGATACTGGAATAATAATAATTTGAGCTGGAATAAAGTAGCATAATTTTTGGAAGCTGAAATGGATAATTTCAGCAATATCTTTGGATTATTTTCTTCAACTGCATTTTCAGCTTTGCTGTTGCTTTAGGTTTACTTCTAAAAGCACACGTATCCAAGGATCTCACATTTCTTGTTATATGTGTATATATATGTATATACACATATAAATGTATAATTATAATAAATGTATAATTTGAGATCCTATTTGTGAGAATATATATATACACACACATATATATGTATATATGTATATAGAGGATCACAAAGAGGATCTCAAGTTAGTCCTAGCAGAATTCTTATTAAATGGATAAACCTAATACTTCTAAATCTGCTTAGTCTTTAGATATCTGTCATGTCACTGTAAGATTTAATTGCAATAAAATTTCAATACATTCAATTTTTTTTTTTTTTTTTTTTTTTTTTTTTTTTTTTGGTGGTGTAGAGTGGGTGGGTAGAGGGGACTGAGTCTTGCTCACTCCATTTCCCAGGCTGGAGTGCAGTGGCGATCTCTGCTTACCGCAACCCCCGCCTCCCTTGGCTCAAGTGATCCTTCCGCCTCAAGCCACCCGAGTAGCTGGATTTATAGGTGTGTGCCACGAGCCTGGCTAATTTTTGTGTTTATAGTAGAGATGGGGTTTCACCGTGTTGGCCAGGCTGGTCTAGAACTGCTGGCCTCAAGCAATCCGCCCACCTCGGCCTCCCAAAGTGCTGGGATTATAGGCATGAGCCACTGCACCCAGCCCAAGACTTCATCTTTCATAATCAATTCTTGTGAAGCAGGCTCACAATTTCTCATCATCTTAAAGAAATGTTCTGTTTAAGGAATAGCTTCCAATTTACGATTTTATTCAGATTGAACCACTTATTTAATTTAACGAGATTTATACACCTCTTCCATTCTATGTTTAGGTTCACTGAGGTCAACGACATCTGGTCAAATGGCTAAAGAACTAAGGCCCTGTGGAAAAAGACTGGGAGCAATGTTAAAAATTTACAACTGCAGAAATTTTTACCCCAGGAAACACACACACACACACACACACGTATATATGCACTTTAAATCAACATACAATATCCCTGCACCAAACATTGAGCTGCTTAAATCGTAGAATCCCTTTTGTGCATCAAACAGCAATATGCTGAAGAGATTTTCAGGGAGTCGTGCATCATCCATCTGCCGTCTCATTTCAAGGAAACCGGAAGTTGTATTTGGTTGTATAATAACGGACTCCTCCGATTTGATCAGGATCTCAGCTGTCAGAAGCCTTTTCCTGTATTCAGGCCAAAGGGAAACATGACCAGGCACAAATAACAGGGTAGATGATGTGCCTTCGTGGCAGAAACAAGCCTCTGTATAAACAAAGAAGAGGGTCCTCAGCCACGGTCCTCCGTTGCCTGTTGTCCCTCTCTGTTAGTGTGTACTTCTACTGATTGACTTTCTTTTCTGAGGAGAAACCTATGGAAAACAGTAGGAAAATGTTTTAGATTAAAAATTAACATTTCATTGCCTTCTTCTGGCTTAAGGCTGACATAAAGTTCCAGGATGGCGAAAAAAATAAATAAATAAATAAAAAGAGTTATGTTATATTCATGAGCTCCCCACAAGTTTACACTGAGAAATCAAGAAGTGGGAAATGGAGGGTTATTATTTTAAGCATTGACATATGCTTACCATTTTGTGAAATCAGTTGTGGCCTCGTTCTAATTATGCCTGAAGCGCAATGTTCTACACTAATTCTCACTCTTGCTGGCATTTTGGCTTGGGCATGTGAAAGTAAGTCATATATATGACTTAGGTTAGTTTCAGTACTTACCCCAGAGAAAGAAAACTTGCAAAATATTATCTTTTAAGATATGGTACTGGGTACCTTACTGCCAAAGCTATAGAAAATATCATATAGAAAGATTTGTTGGTGTATCATGAAGACCGATATGAAAAATCTGGAATATTTTGATTGAATACTATTTGATAATTAATACTACATGAAAGACAAAGTCAAATAAGTTTACTCATGGCAACAGGAAAAAAAAATCATAGAAATGCCAAGAAACAAAGTGTTATCCTTATCCGTGATAACTTAAAAACATGCTGAATGTTTTGTACTTGTTGCCCTCATTTGGTATACCAAAGACCTGCTAAACTAACATTTTGGTAACAAAAAATAAAGCAAATAGGAAGATAATAAGTTACTTTTCCAGGCTGAAAAATTATGTTGCTGAGGACTGTGGTCATTATGTTAAAAAGGTATCTAATATGTTGAGAACATAAATTTGAACCCAGAAGCATAAATTCATTGATCTAACCAATCTAAAGTTAACATTTAATCCACTAATGATACCTCTCCCTTGGTATCTTAAATATTTTAAAATTAACTCCTCTTCAGTTTGGACAGTGCTCTTGTGAAACAGGTATAGAATTAAAGATCAATAGCCTCATATTTTAGATGGAGAGAGGCTGTGGCCCATGAGATAATCCATGGCAGAATGGAAATCTGAACAAAAAACAAAGATAGATCTTTAGTTTCTTGAAGGGAAGGCAGAATTTCCCTAAATGTACAGTGAGGGTGGGAGGAGGGCCTCAATCCACTATGACTGGTGTACATGTAAGAAGAGGAAAATCTGGACACAGAAGGAAGATGGCCATGTGAAGACCGAGGCAGAGATTGCAGTGATGCTGCCACTAGCTAAGGAATACCTGGAGCTACTAGAAGCTGAAAGAGGCAAGGAAGTCTCCTCCCTAGAAGACTTGGAGGGAGCTTGACCCTGCCAACATCTTGATTTTTGGATATCTAACCTTCAGAGCTGGGGAAAAAAAAAAGTTTTTCTATTTTAAGCCACCCAGTTTGTGGTATTTTGTTATGGCAATCCTAGGAGACAAATCCAGTCAGTATTTGTTTAGTTGGTTATTAATAGACATTAGTAAAAGCTAATTATAATATTTAGGCTTTGATCTTCTATATTGTAAAGAAATAATTTCACAACACAGTTTCATATCCCTACATTTTATGCCTTTCTAGATACATTAATAATCCAGGTCTGGCTCATTAGACAAAGCATAACTCTGTAACCTATGAAAAATTTGGAATGTACAGAAGTGACTGGCATGCAGTGCAATCAGAAACCATAGCTTTTTGACATTTCAGAAAGGAAGAAAAAACAACATGTTTTTTAAGGCTATACTAACTCTGTTGTGACATAATTGTTCTATAAACATGGAAGTCATTTTGCATCTCATTCTGATAACAGATGAAACAAGATGAAAATGTTCTTTGTAAAATCACATGTTTCTAAACAAAAACTGTAACCCATTAATATCTGTGGACTTCAATGTATTAAAAACACCATTATTTAATGTTATACCAAGAGAAAGCCAAGTCTCAAATGACTTGAAAACATTCGAAACCCTTCATTTAAAATATTTAGTTTTTGAAAGAAGGGTTGATTTTCAATGTGTCTCCAAAGCATTCTACAATAACCACAGACAGTAACTGAGAGCAAAGCTGGAAATTAGTTAACTGGCAGACTGTGCGCCATGGTACTCACCACCTACCACCCTCAGTCCCTAGTCAGGAAGCCCTTCACTGGGGTCCCCACATTATAGAGGACTCTGCTCTGGCCCTCCTCCAGCCACACCCTTCCTCACAGTGTGAGCAACCCTTCCTCCAGAACAAGCTCCTGGCACCCAAATGTATACCCCTGAAGTCCCTGCCCAAGTGATTCTGGACCAGCTTCCCAGACTCATGTGGTCCTCTTCCCAGCCTGAAGGCTGTCGAAAGAGTGCTGTTTGTAGAGTGGTGAGGGGTGTATGGACAAGGCTGGGATGTCCCAACTGGGCTGTCTTCAAGTTTGCACTCAAGAGTCCTTATGATGGGAGGGTGGGGAGAGAAGGTGGAGGGTCCCAGGCAAGAGGTCAGGGCTTAGGTCTCCCTGTGCCACCTTGTCCTGTCACAGACTGGTTTTGAATCTGAGCATTGTAAATTGTACTTTGGTTTTACATGTATGTTTATCAAGGTAGGAGGATAGATTATACTTTAACAGTTTCTATGCTTGATTCATGAGATTTACACATATAGGATGTAGCTCTCCACTTATTCTTGCTCTAGGCCCCAGAAATGTTAGAGGAAGATTTAGTGGTATCATTGAAATTTAATCACTCATTATCTGCCATACCTTTTAAAATGCATGAAGTTTTATTTTATTTATTTATTTTTTTTTTTGAGATAGAGTCATTCTCTGTCACCCAGGCTTGAGCACAGCGGTGTGATCTCACCTCACTGCAACCTTGGCCTCCTGGGCTCATGTGATCCTCCTACCTTAGTCTCCCAAATAGCTGGGACTACAGGCACATGCCACTACACCTGGCTAATTTTTGTATTTTTTTGTAGAGACGGCATTTCACCATGTTGCCCAGGCTGGGCTTGAACTCCTAGGCTCCAGCAATCCACCCGCGTTGGTCTCCCAAAGTGCTGGGATTATAGGCATGAGCCACCACGTCTGGCCTTAAACCAGTGATTTCTTAATAATCAATACCACAAAATTATTTTATGAGAATTCTGAACAATTCAGTTACACCAACAGATTAAAAGGACCTTTTTAATTAAATGAACCCCAAACCAGCAAAAACCACTACTGAAATTAAATTATGACACATCCGTCATTTGTGACGAGTGATTTCAGAGTTCTTGCCAATTCTTATGACATGGCTTGAGCTATGAAATACATCAAATGTGGAAGCTAGTAAAGGAGGCATAGGAATCCCAAACAGGTAGATTTTTAAGTAAGGAATTTTTTGGTGGTGCCCTAACTACGATCAGCCCTCTTGCCTGCTGCTGGCCAGCCATAGTTAGTTGCAGAGTTGTGTTGGTATGGAGAAGGATGGGTTTCAAATGATAACATACCCCTGGTCAGGTTCCACCAGGGCTGTCCATGCACAAGTTAGTTCATAACATATTTATTACACACTTAATCTTACATAGTACTGTGTCTTTTACTTGTGATATTCTAAATGTCAAATGAGTAGCATGCTGTGAGTTCATACGAAGATGAGATTATTGAGGATTAAACGCTAGTCATATTATTATCTGTGTTAGAGACCCATTCTCATTTTTGTATTTATAATTTTAGAAAATTTTAATAAAGTGAGAGGGGTACAATAAGAGGGGCACTGTACTATATAATTCAAACCATAGGTTTTAGAATCCTATATATCAAATAATCTAATCCGTGTGTGAAATTTTATTAACTGTGTGATTTAGGTGTTACATAAATTCTCTAAGCCTCGGTTTCCCCATGTGTTAAATAGTGCAAAACAAAACCTATTTTATAGCATTGTTGTGAAGACTGAAATAAACAACTCTTTAAAAACAGGCCGGGTGTGGTGGCTCACACCTGAAATTTCAGCAGTTTGGGAGCCCAAGGCAGGAGGATCAATTGAGGCCAGGAGTTCGACATCAGCCTGGGCAATAGGCTGGAGATGGAGCAAGACTCCCTCTGAACAAAAAAATAAAAATAAAGATTAGCTGGGTATGGTGGTTCATGCCTGTAGCCCTAGCTATTCATGAGACTGAGGTGGGATGATTTCTTGAGCCCAGGAGTTCAAGCGTACAGTGAGCTATGATCATACCACTGCACTACTCCAGCCTGGGTGACAGAGTGAGACTGTCTCAGAAAAAAAAAAAAAAAAAACAGAAACAAAGCTTAGGTTGGTACATCATAGAGATTTTTTTGTTGTAGTTTTACATCTGTAGACACTGTTACATGGTATGCTTATACATCACAAAGCTCACTACATTTTTCCTAGCTAGACAAAAATCAGTACGTCTCATACACTGACTACAACGTTTCATTACTGCGTATTCTATTTAGTTTCTGAATGTCATCACAATTCGTTTCTATTTTATGTAATCACTAGCTTGTGTAATATTGGTCCAGGGAGAATTCAATAATGATATATAAATGACCTTATGGTATTACTAAGTTCCGTACTAAGTAATTGTATTTTCTAGTGATTAAACTCCAATTCAGAAAGAAAATATCTTTAATAGTCATTCCAGAGCAATATAAAATGGAAAATTATAATTGGGTAGCAATTCTGCAATTATACAATAATAGATTTTAAAATTGCATATATTATGCAACACTCATTCTGGTTAATGGTATGCCTTTCTAATAAAAGAACTCCATTATTGTTGGAACTCAAGAACTTCATTAAAACCTCTGGCTATATTTGTAGTAGAAAGCAAAGAAAAAAGAGAGTCCTATAGAGTTTTGATAAATACCTGGACATTTTATTATGGAGTTCTCACATTTCGTATTTCTTTTCTATGATGCTGTTATAATCTATGGTCTTTGCCACACCCATTGCTGCTGTGTACAGCTGTCCAGATTGCAGGCTCCATCCACATAGACGACCATTATGCACCCCTTAGACTTGTAAAGTTCACAACCTGCAAAACTACATGTGGTATCCCTGGCTTCCTATTTACACTCCATAACAGACTCCTTGTATTAAAAACTAAATTTCTGTGATCTCAGCTCTGACTTCAAATGAGATCAAATTTCAAGAATGGCCTGAAATTAGACTATAGAGCTCATCTTCAGCATTTTTAGATAGATTCAAATCTTTGGAAATTAACAAGTGAGAGTCCCAGGTGTGTGTCATATGAGACTTTAAACATGCAGCAGACATTTCTAACTTTTGATTATGTATACGTGATGAGAATAGAAGTGGGATTTTGATTATAGCTAAGTATATACAGCCTGCTTCCGGGTGGCCTCACAAGACCATAGAAAGAAGCAGTAGAAAGTATAGCAGATTCTAGAAACAAAAAAGAAAATGTTAAACCAATAAAAAATAAGATGTAAAAAAGTAATCTTAGTTGTGAGTACTTCATAAGTGACTTTTAGTTTTTCCCAGCATACTTTGAGGTGGGCGTTGTGGGCAACCCTGGCCTAAACTAAGAACCCTGCCTTGGAGTCTGACATTTAGTCATAAGGGAACACAGTTCTGAGCCTTTGGTTTCCTCTGTCTGTCTGCCAGTGACATTTAAAACATCTGTCTAGCAAACTCAACTTGGAATAGTGGGTGTGCATCTGTACTTTGTAGTACAATTGCAGAACTTTGTTGTTGTTATAATACAGCTCTGCTTACAGTTTTCATTTCTAACCCCCGATGGAATTCTGACTCTGAGACTGAAAAAGGAACAGAAGCCAGCATTGAAGTTCATGCATTTCTGTATTTGCACATTTTCTGTGTCTTAAGGAGTTCAATTTAACCCCAGGTGCATCAAATTAAAGTTATGTATGTAACACAACTTTATAGTAAGTCCTCCCCAAGTACGAATGAATGTATGTTGAGTAAACATCCCAAAAAGATCCCATTAAGATGTAAACGTGAAAGAATGCTCAATACAGCTGTGGTCTTACCATTTGCCTTGTGTTGTACATCTGGCGGAAGCTGGTCAAGAGCATACCACTGATAGTCTGGCTGTGTGGAACAATAAAACATTATTATAGCAATATGGACTTCAAACCAAACATAGTGGCATGTCAAAAATACAATTAGGCTATGTGGCTTTTATTAAGCAGGAAACACAAAAGTAATTTCTATCCAAACCTATTGCCAACCTCACTCATCCTGCTTATCCCCCATCACTGCCATCATCTCTCCCTACCCCCTCTTAAATTCACTCTGTGTTTGGCCAGAATTTCTACTACTTTGAGGTTGTGACATGTTTTCTTTTTTTTCTCTGAAACAGATGTGTTTTGAATATCTGCAGAAGTATAAACACTTGTAAAACTTACTACAACCCATCAATAAAACAAAGCAACTTAGCATCAACAAATACTCTTTTTGAGACCCTCACACTAGAGGCAATGAGAAGGCCAGGGGGAAAAAAAAAAGCTTAATACAAGTTTTCTAATCGTTTAAGGAAGGAAATCTAAGCTATTAAATAGGGACTTGGCATTGATAGAAGTTCAGGATGGTGAAGGAGGGCAAATCTTTCCCTTTTTTCTATTCTGAAGAACCAATCCAGCAGAACCTCTCTTCTAAATTGCTCGTATAGTTTAGTCTACAGAGACAAGATTTTTCTCTTGGGATTTTCTCCTAGGTTTACACCAGTTAAGAACAGCTAGATATTGAATGCCAAACAGATTGCATTGAATAAATAGTAAACCCTTAGGCCTAAATTATCAAGATATCTTCAAGGCCCGGACCTCTGTATTTAACCCCTAGGAATGGAGCAATCTCAGCTTTACCTGCCCACAAAGCAGGTCTGTCTTTCTGCTCTGAATGCTCACCCCTGCCTCCTACTTCTCCACAAGGCACAGAGAATATAGATTTTTTTGTTCTGTAATTCAATTATCTCCTAAAAATAACTTGAGGAAAATTTTTCTAACATGAGTCAACAGAGAGCATTTACAAGGCTGTCAGACCGCTGAAAGTCACCTACGAAGTTCAATTACTCAACAAGACACTGAGAAATGCTGCTTTTAGTGCAGTTTGACCCCACTGTACCCCCACTCTAGACACCTAGGCCCTTGGCTCCTCTGGCTTATGAAAAAGCTAGAAGAGGAAATGAGATCACCTCTGTTTTTTATCTTCTCGTTTATTTTTAGACGTCTCAAATAACACATAGGATAAGTGACGTGAGCCTCAGTTTTACATTCCAGGAGGGTTGCCAAAAGAAGGTAAATATCCTGTAATGTTACCAACACTGTAGCATGTGACTTAATTCAGCCTTCAATATAGGCAAGAAACATGAAATCTTATTTTTAAATTAGCTTGAGGATTTGGTTGTAAATTCTACTGTTATGCTGAGATTTTTTTCATCAGACTACTGCTTGAAAATATAGGCCATTCTGGCCAGGCGTAGTGGCTCACACCTGTAATCTCAGCACTTTGGGAGACCAAGGCAGGCAGATCACGAGGTCAGGAATTTGAGACCAGCCTGGCTAATATGGAGAAACCCCATCTCCACTAAAATTACAAAAATTAGCCAGGCGTGGTGTTGTGTGCCTGTAGTCCCAGCTACTCGGGAGGGTGAGGCAGGAGAATCGCTTGAACCCAGGAGGTGGAGGTTGCAGTGAGTCAAGAGCATACCACTGCACTACAGTCTGGGCGACAGAGTAAGACCCCTTCTCAAAAAAAAAAAAAAAAAAGAAAAGAAAAAAGAAAAAAAATGTAGGCTATTCTACATGGCTTGGAGTCCTTTTTCAAATATAGGCCTTTATTTGGTGACAATTTTATGTGACCTGGACTGCCTTGCCTTTTTTAATTGACAGGGAATGCTTGATTAGCTGTAGTAGGTGAATTCCTTCCTTCTTTCCACAAATAAAGATTTGACAGAAACAATAATTTGTACTCTTAGGTAAATGTGAATGACTGATTGGTTTCATAGTTAATCTTTCATAAGAATATTTCGTAAGAATAATCCCCCAACCTGTAGAAGCCAACTTCTATAGGTTAATTCACTCCTACAGTAAATTTCTCTTTGTGTTTCTCACAATCTGAGTTGACTTCTACAATCTTGAAAAAAAAAATTTTAATGTTATTGGTAAAGACTGAAAAGTAAGCAAACAGATAAAGTAAAAAAAAAAGGAGGCTGGGCGCAGTGGCTCATGCCTGTAATCCCAGCATTTTGGGAGGCTGAGGCGGGAGGATCATGAGGTCAGGAGATCGAGACCATCCTGGCTAACACGGTGAAACTCCATCTCTACTAAAAATACAAAAAAAAAATTAGCCAGGCATGGTGGCAGGCGCCTGTAGTCACAGCTACTCAGGAGGCTGAGGCAGGAGAATGGCGTGAACACGGGAGGTGGAGCTTGCAGTGAGCTGAGATCACACCACTGCACTCCAGCCTGGGCGACAGAGCGAGACTCTGTCTCAAAAAAAAAAAAAAGAAAGAAAAAAGAAAAAAAGAAAACAAAAAAATGGAAATTGGGGAAGGAGAGCAGACAGAACTAGCAACCAGCAATAACATGAAAAGAACCAATTCTTAGCAGTGTGCTGTGTCATACCGGGGTCAAATAAGAGATGCTCATTAAATCCTCACATCCTTCTGCCACCCAAAGAGTCATTATCTCCTCCCTTGGGAAAAGGGCTTTGAGTCACACTCAAACAAAAGTATGAGAACTTTCAAGAAGCCAAGAGAATCATGCTTTCTGTAAGCATTCTGGTCGGAAAATCCCAGTTTAAAATCTTAGATTTTTTTCATCATGAGAAACACAATCAAACCTAAAGTTTGGGAGGATTTGCCTGGGTAAATACAAAATGCAGAAAAAACACATTTTTTTTTCCCCCTGGATAAAGGTTCTATCTATGTAGGCAAAATAGAAGGTAGAGGAGGGTGGGTGGAATACTGCTATTGAGAGGGAAAAAAAGGGTGCTTTGGGCCTGACTTATTCAGGTTGACTGTCCAAATCAATTCCCCTCACAAATAATTGCTCAACTCTGCATTTCATTTTGTCTGGGAAGACACAGCCAGGGAGAACAACTTAAGTGGGTCACTTTTTCTTGGATCCTTTAAGAAAATCCTTTCAATTGGAAAATGTCAAAAACTATTTTGCACATATGTAGCAATATCAATAGTAGTTCAATATAAATTTACAACTGAAAAAAAGCATCTCTTTTTTTTTTGTTTTGCCATATCCACTTTCTTTTATACATAAATACATTTTACACCTAAAATACCCTTTGGGTAGAATGAGGTATGCCAATTGAAAATGTTATATGTTGTTCAAGGAATTATTCCCAATTTAATACCTTTCAGTTAATTTATTCGTATCTATGTGTCCTGTGGATTCAGTGTCCCAAAGATAATTCTACTGTACACTGACCACTCCAACTTTGCAAGTTTGAGACTGAGAGAAAACAGAGGCTCTTGCTGTAGATAATATAATGTGCTGAAATTCCAGAGATGGACATAATTTCTACCAAAACAGTATACTAAGCACTTTTTCAAATGCACTCTTACTGGGTGCTCCCGTCGCTTCTGCACAGCTCCAGCGCCTGTTGGTAGCCATGGATCTTGCAGGTGGAAAACCAAGCCGCAGTTACAGGTTGGGAAATACATCTGAGGAGAACAAAGCTGTGGGTTCACTACCAGTGGGAGAGACTGAAGAGTCGCACTGACATTGCTTTATACAAAAGGTTTGGTTTCAATCTTAAGGTTCCGCCTAATCTGGCATAATTATAACTCAAAACCGTAAACATGTCAATAGACTCAGGACCGATACAGATAAGGCTCACTGGTCAAGTCTTACCTAAGGTGAAACTATAATCATTTCTCCATTTTGAGGAAATGAGACACACTTGAAAAGTATATAGAGTTAACTTTATGTTTTTGAGTTATCTTTATTGAGGGCCCTCAATGAAGAAAATCTATCCATTGAGTCATGAAATAGGTTTTCTTAAATTGTAGCCAGGGAAAACTAAAGTCCAGAAAGGAAATTAGGAATTAAGACAAATAATATTCAGTCTTTAAGGCAACTAGAGAACCCATGGGATAGAATACTTCAGTGCTCAAGAAGGCATGTTATTTTTTCAAAAGAGGCAGTATTTGATTTAGTTTTCCACTGTTAATTGTGTGAGCAACTGCATGAAATACCAGTGAAATCTATTTCCCAGGTGCTTGTGGGTCTAAGGAGCACTAAGGTTTGTGCTACTGGGAACATGCTCTATAAAGCATATACTTTCCATGAGTGTTAGGGTTGAAAGGCCTTGGTGGTGCCTAAGCACTGTCTATCCATTGATGGTGTAGTCGGTAATGAAGACCATGGGTTGTTGTAGGCCACCTGTAGCAGAGCTTGAATATGTCTTTAATTGGGACAATGAGAAATGTTGTACGTGGGAATAAATGTATGAGTGAAAATTAGAACAACATACCTGCTTTAATTGCTTTTCTAGTTTTTCTTTCTCCATCTGACAAGCTTTTATCTAAAGACAAAATAAAGGCATTTGTTAATCAAGACAAGTTCAAATCATTAGTTCCTAAGCCACTCTTGACCTACTCAAGTGTGAGGCACTGACAGCAGTAATACCAACAAAAACAGCCACAGGTTGGTTTTTCCAGATATGCATTGATTCTATCTTTACATTTCCAATTGAAGTTTGAAAAATGTGATAGTTTTAAATTGCTATTCCAGTTTTTTGAGGCCATTACAATTCTGTTTTAGGTAGATCTATTTAGATACAGATATAGAAACAATTTTCATTGCTTACTGAATGACACTGAAATTGTCAAACTGACATTCAAAGGCTTCCATAATAAATTTTGGAAGTTATATATGCACTTAATCCATGTCAGAAACTGATCTAAATTCTTTACATGCAATAACTCACTGAATTCTCCCAATCCCTCTATGTGATACTTAGTATTATCTCAATTTTATAGATGAGAACACTAAGACATAAGATTCTGAGTAACTTGTTCAAAGTCACACTGCTATATTCCACGGCTTCTCACTACTTAAGGCCCAGCCTCATCTAGATGAATCACCTACCCTGGGTTCCCTTAACTTAAGACACACTTAGAGAAAGCTGGCTTTTCCTTGACTGTTTCATTGTCATTCCTATACTCCGTGTCCCACATTCCCATAAGGGATGGTCAAATATCCCCTTCTGAATGATACCTTTCCAGGTCCCACTAATCAGAATTATTCTGTCCTCTTATGTAGTGTTGTACATTCACTGTGTGACTTTTTAGACCAATGTGTACTATTTACAGGCAATTCTTGCTGCTTGTGGTAGTCATATTCCATAAAGTCTTCAGGGACACTGAATTAGTGAATATTGAACCACTGCTCCTAGGAGAATTGTTGGGTTAAGTTTCTGCTAGCCTCTTCTCACAACATTTGTGTCAATGAATCAATACATAACCTTGTTTCATGTGTGTTTCTGATTAAAGACAACTTATTTAATATGTTTCGTTGATTAACACTGAACTCATGGTCAAGAGTACTATAACATGCCTTAATGAAACTTCTCTAACACACATTTTCTCTGTAAGGCACATTACATCCTTCGTGTTTAGGAATCCTAGAGAGCATGTCAGCATATATATGTGGGCCATTCTAAACCATGAAATCACCAACAAAAAGCACAAAAACGCAGCAAACATGGCACTATATGGACCACAAAAAGAACACTATGAATGTGTATATGTCAGGAAACAACTTTGCTGCTCTGCTCATATGTAAGGACGTATCACAAAGCACCACAAGTATTGATTTGGGGATGACAAATGCATTTTAGTGAGTAGGGAAATTCACATATGCAGAATTGGTGATGATGAGGATAGACTGTACATGTCTCTTTTACTATATTGTGAGTTATTTACTAGCAAGAACCAGTTTTCGTTTTCTCACAGCATATAGCAGAATGCCTTGCAAAAAGAAAGCATCAAAATTAGATTACAAGGAACTGAAAGTAGCATGCTAATTATACAACTAAATGAAAATATTAAACATGTCCCCTCTTCTAATAGACTAAAATAATTTATAAAATACCTCTGAGCCATGATTTGGCTTGAGCTAAATGTTTTCTAAAGGGTATTTTGTTTTTTTCTTTTCTTTTTGAGACAGAATCCCACTCTGCTGCCCAGGCTGGAATGCAGTGGCGCAATCTCAGCTCACTGCAACCTCTGCCTCCTGGGTTCAAGAGATTATTCTGCCTCAGCCTCGTGAGTAGCTGGGATTACAGACGCGTACCACCATGCCCAGCTAATTTTTGTGTTTTTAGTAGAGATGAGGTTTCACCATGTTGGCCAGGCTGGTCTCAAACTCCTGATCTCCAGTGACCTGCCTGCCTTGGCCTCCCAAAGTGCTGGGATTACAAGCGTGAGCCACTGCGCCTGGCCTGTTTTTTGCTTTTTTCACTTACCATTGAGAACAACTTAGTGAAGTCATAAGGTAGGTTTCATTATCTATATTTTACAGGCAGGTATACTAAAAGAGGTTAGGTAACTTATTTTTTAGAGAGAGGTTTTAGAGTAATAAGAAACATTTTAGAGATGATCGAGTTCAACTTTGTCATTGTACAGATTAAGAAAAGGAAGCATAGAAAAGTTAAATAACTTGTTCAAGGTTACCACCAATGGAATATCAGAGCAGGCAGGAACACCAAGTCTTTTTTGCCCTAAATTCCTCTTATTTCTAAGTACCCTAAGCATCTTTCACTTTACCACATTACTTATTTTACCATTGACACCGGCTTAACGCATTTTAGTGACAGAATGAATACATTCTGGGAAGAAAGCAACTCAGAATGCCAGAATGGTTTGACCTGAACATTCCTCTAAAAGTCCACTTGGACAGCAAATATGTTATTCAACTAAGGTAATGTCAGGTAATGTCAGTTCCTTTTTTTTTTTTTTTTTTTTTTTTTTGAGACGGAGTCTTGCTGTGTCACCCAGGCTGGAGTGCAATGGCCAGATCTCGGCTCACTGCAAGCTCCGCCTCCCGGGTTCACGCCATTCTCCTGCCTCAGCCTCCCGAGTAGCTGGGACTACAGGCGCCCGCCACCTCGCCCGGCTAGTTTTTTTTTGTATTTTTTTATTAGAGACGGGGTTTCACCGTGTTAGCCAGGATGGTCTCGATCTCCTGACCTCGTGATCCGCCCGTCTCGGCCTCCCAAAGTGCTGGGATTACAGGCTTGAGCCACCGCGCCCGGCCTTTTTTTTTCTTTTTTGAGACGGAGTCTTGAGACGGAGTCTTGCTCTGTCGCCCAGGCTGGAGTGCAGTGGCGCGATCTCCGCTCACTGCAAGCTCCGCCTTCAGGGTTCACGCCATTCTCCTGCCTCAGCCTCCCTAGAAGTTGGGACTACAGGCGCCCGCCACAACCCCTGGCTAATTTTTTTGTATTGTTAGTAGAGATGGGGTTTCGCCATGTTCGCCAGGATGGTCTCGATATCCTGACCTCGCGATCCGCCCGCCTCGGCCTCCCAAAGTGCTGGGATTACAGGCGTGAACCACCGCGCCCGGTCATCAGTTCTTTTTTAAATATCTTAGCATTTAATCTGCTGTTAATACATTTAACATACATCATCAAACCATCTACTTCGTCTCTGTGAATTCTATCATTCTCCTACTGAGTAAATGAGACTTTAAAAAAAGGATTGGGCTTTCATTACTTTAAAGAAAAAATTTCATAGCTCTAAGTTATCACTTTAGATATGATTAAGATTTTCCTTTAGGTTCTAGGCACAATTATACCAAGCTGCATTTAGAAAATACATTTATTTTGTTGATACCAATCAAGTTTACAGGTGACACAGGAAAGGACTTGTGGATTATAGTATATAACGTTAAGTAGATAGATGTATGTTCCTGACCAGACTAAAAGTTCTGTAATGGCAAGGACATTGCCAGTCTATCACCAATCTTAATATAGTAGAATAAACAAAATTATATAATTATATATTGATATATAATTTATCATACAAAAAAAATTTACTAAAAATTGTTTTAAAATTAAAATTGTTTCACTTGCTGTTGTACTGGCAGCAAATTTTACAATTGCTTTAAAAAACAAATTATTTTTTGTTCTAAAACTGTTTTGCTGGCAGCAAGTAAAACAGTTTGTACAGAGACAACTTGAAAGAAATTAGGCTAGCTAGGCATGTAAGAAACAAATTAAAAGAATAAAAATTCAAAAAATTAACTGGGCGTGGTGGTGCATGCCTGTAATCCCAGCTACTTGGGAGGCTGAGGCAGGAGAATCGCCTGAACCTGGGAGGTGGAAGTTGTGGTGAGCTGAGATCACGCCGTTGCACTCCAGCCTGGGCAACAATAGCAAAACACCATCTCAAAAACCAAAAAAGTATATATATTCTCTCTCTTTTTTTTTTTTTTTTTTTTACCAAGAATAATGAGAACATTGTCTTATCTATTGTTACATGAATTATTAGGTTGCCTGAATTATTTTCATAAAATTATTTGATTTTTTTACTACTATTTTATTTTTTCTAATTTCTTACAGAGAAAATGGTTCTGCAAAACAATTTTTTCCACGTAAAATTAGGAATTTCAAGTTAATCTTTAAAAAATCAGAGATAAAATTAAATGTAATTCACAATCCACTTTGTATTTGGAAGAAAATGATGACTGTTTAAAAATTTTTTATGACTAAGAATCTTGAAACTAAGAGCTGCCACAGCATTGCCATAACAATTTTCTATTTATTTAAAAGTATTGCAATATTTTACAAATAAAAATGGTGCAGTTTGTTTTATTTTTTAAGGCAAAATTATGTTAGCTACAGTTTCCTTCATTAACATCACTATTTACCCATCATGGCAACTTCCTGAATCTACTTTAATATATTCAATTACACTTAATTTTAGTATGCTTACATTTAATATATTCTATTTTAATAAACTGGTGACCATTATCTGGCTTCCTTGAAAGTACTCCAGTTACATTACATCTGGGAACCACTGAATAAAATCCTCAGTCTCACATATAAATGGCATTTAGAAATATGTATGTTTTTGGCAGACAGGAGCATTCCAACATAGCCCTTCAAAGAAAATGACAAGAATTTTGAAAACCACTTCACTTTATTTGAGTACTAGGTAGTTCAACTCTCATTCTACCAGGATAAATATTATGAGAAAAAGATAAAAAGGACTGTATTTTATAAAAAAAACTTTGGAATGCAATTTCTTGGGCAATTCCTTAATATACTTAAGTTAAAAGAAATTTCCAGTCATTTTCATCTCTTTACAAGATTGTTTAAGAATGACTTCATCCCAGGTGCTGACCTTTCAAAAAAATTCGATGGCAATTAACAGAAGTCAAAAAGTCTTGAATTTTTTAAATGAAAAAAAAAATACATACATGCTGGCAAAGATTATTTTGTTTTGACTTGTACCTGGGAATTCAGCCTGTTCAACTGGGATTGGGAAGTTTCATTAATTTGCTGTAGCTCCTCTTTCTCTTGATTAAGTCTCTCTCGATCTGATCGTTCCTTTTTGAAGTCTTCTTCGTATATTTGCACCTAAGAAATATTAACTTGCTGTTACTGTTAGCTTCCTTTTCTCTTAAGCCATGTAAATGACTTTATTTTAAATGACTGCTGCCTACTCCATTATTGTAAAGAACCCTCCCAACTAGTGTTCAGTGTCACTGTTTCAGAGCAAGTCATCCATCCTTAACACAAGGACTTTGATGTATGAATATTGCTTGAACTTCTAAAAGACAGTTTACTGAAAATAGCTGTTAAGTGTCACTAAATACTGACATGCCCAAGTTTCCAGACATAATGTATAAGTTGAATGCAACAGAGAAACAAAACCCTTACGTATGTGGAAAAGCAAAGCATGATTGTTAAAAGGTATTCACAAATTTTCCCTTTATAAGTTACTTTGGGTGTGTATCATAAATAATAGTAATATTTGAGTGGAACACCGCTTGAGAGGCACTCCAAATATTCCAGAAAAGTGACCAAACTAAAAACAAAAACAGGTTTAAGTATTGTTATTGTTTTCAACTGACTTATTGTTGACTGAGGGCTAGGAGACTGGCATATAAAGCTATGAAAACAAATGAAACTTAGGGAATGAAGCAAAAACATTCCTCTAAGACTCTGATTTAAATTACTACTTATATTGGAACCTAGTAGCTAGATTTTTGTCTATTAAAACTACTGCACATTACACTTTCATCACTAACAGTGCAACACATTTTAACTAAAGGTTTATCAATTTTATTGTTCTAAGTTGACAGCAATAGAACAAAATATGCAAGGGAAGAAATTAAACATTTTGTATACATTTACATGCAGATACTCATATTAAATTTTTAAGTCTTTATTCACCAGAAGTACTGAAGGGAAACTACATCCAGCCACACTGACATTTTGATAATTTTTTTGGTTAAGAACTGACATTCATTTCCAGAGACAGTTAAACTAATGCTCTGTAAACAATCACCAGAGGCATTTTAAATGGGAGGAGACCATCTGATTAGAATTAAACACTGGCAACGTCATCACTTTAGTCAGGTAGGGGCCAAGATTCTCACTCAGTTTCTTTGTGCATTTAAGCCCTTTAGTGTTTCACCTGGCACTTGGTGATGTAACGATTGTGGGTGCCTGATTACAAACATGCACAGTTAAAATATTTACCGAGAAAGTCAGCAGTAGATACACTGCAAAACTATGGAGATGGATTTTGGTCTTCCCACAGGGATTATGAAAAAAGAATATCTGTCACTGTAAGAAATATGAACCAAACCATTATTATAAACTTTATGTGTAAAAGTGACTCTTGCATGTCATGTACCTTATATGCAAGTTCCGAAGATGTCAAGTGTTTGAACATAAGCAGTACTTTTGGTTTTTGATGAAATCCTGGCCAGTACCAACAGTACTCTAGGGGTTGAGAATTTGACAGAGCTTTGAGACTGTGCATATTACCCTTATTCTCTTCATGAGTTTATTTTTCAGCTATGTATTTTACCCTGAATGTAATGAAGCAGATTATTCAAGTAAAATTGACAAAAGAGAAAATCCAACTTTACCATCAAATGCTGTAAAATTTTTAGATCTATTCACAGATAGGTTACTTCATATGAAGCAGTAACAATAAAACAAGTAACAGCAATAATAACACAATTGCTCGATTTTTCCATGTATTGCAACAAAAATCTTTGTAATTAGTACTCACTCAGGGCAAAAGCAGTCAGTAAATCATACCCAGGGACATCAGAAAAATGATGCTTTCCAGCCCTTTGTTCTATGGCACCCTGTCTTCCATTGCCAATAAGTTACTGACAATGCGTGCTTCAGGGATTGAGGTTCCTTGATGTATCCTGTATTTACCACTATTGCCATGAACCATTCCAGATTTTTCTCTACATTAGTTTATTTAACCTCTCACATAAAAAGAGACATGATATACATGGTTGGCCCCTCAGCTAAGTGAATTCCAACAGATTTAGAGAATTCCAGAGTAAGTTTAGACACAAGCAGTTTAACCAGTGCGGTATCTCCTCTGCGCTATGCTGCCAATAGATACATGCAGAAGTTGTAGAGTGCATCCTTACTCTTGCTGTCCACTTGGCAATAGTGAGTGAGGTTAGGTGAGTGGAGAGGAGAATGCTATTGTGCATCAGTGAATTGCTAAGTGGTGTGGGACTAGCTGAGCAGACCTGGTTTCAGTGATTATAATAAATACAAAGTATTCTCTTTAAAACTGCTCTTATTGTGCAAAGGCCTAGAGGCTAGCAACTACAGAATGATCACTCAGCTGCTACTGTTTTCTGAAAAGATCCAGAGTTGGGATTAATAGTGTTCTTAAAATAAGCCATGTGGCTGGGTGCGGTGGCTCACGCCTGTAATCCCAACACTTTGGGAGGCCGAGGCAGGTGGATCACGAGGTCAGGAGTTTGAGACCAGCCTGGACAACATGGTGAAACTCCATCTCTACTAAAAATACAAAAAATTAGCCAGGCATGGTGGCATGCGCCTGTAGTCTCAGCTACTCGGGAGGCTGAGGCAGGAGAATCGCTTGAAACGGGGAGGCAGAAGTTGCGGTGAGCCGAGATCACGCCACTGCACTCCAGCCTGGGCGACAATGGGAGACTCCGTCTCAAAAACAAAATCAAAACCAAAAACTATGTCTACATGAAACTCTCTAGCCCCAGTGCTAATAGAACCTCACCCAAGGTTAATTGGCATGTCCCTCTTTTAACTGTGTGATTGGGTAAGCCATTTAATCCATCTGAAACTCAGTTCCCTATATTCTAAATGGTGGGACTGAACTAGCTGATCTATATTCTTCCTATCAAGCTTGAAAATTAGATAATTCTACTTAAAATAAATGCAAAAACCTTTGACATATTTCTAGCAGCAAGACATCTAAAAATGCCCAAAGAAGCATGAACAATGGGCAGTATGTTCTCCACAGGATCATGCCACTTCCAGCTTCTCACCTGCTGCTTCAGAACTTCCATTTCTGTTCTCATCTCCTCATGGCAAAATTCCACTCGAGACTTCCTCAAACAGTCCTCAGAAAATGAACACTTGAAATTCAAGGCATCCTGAAGAACCTATGTAATAAGATTAAGTACACTGTTGATCTAAGATTTACCACATGGAATGAATTCTTTTATAATTGTTACAATCATCTCAAATGCACCCACAAATAAGCATTTCATGTTCAACGCTGCTGACGTAACCGAGTAACTTTCTTCTTTCTGATTTTCTCATATATGTATTTTTTTCCAGAATCTTTGTCTTTTCTACATGATGATGCTTATGTTAATTGATCCTCATTATTATTTAGGCTTTGATGTTGGACCCTCCTCCTCCACCTAGCCAACTATGAAAACAAAATCTGTATCTATAGACTTTCTCCAGATTCTCTGCTTCAGTCAAATGTATACCCTATCAATGATGCTCAGACATTAGGGAACATCAGAGGTAGCAGACATGCCCATCCCTTGGTACTGACTCCCAGAGATTATGAATCAGTAGGCTGGAGGGTATAGTTTCAGAATTTGCATTTCTCAGAAGCTGGTGCTGCTGGTCCCAGGTAATGTTTTGAGTAATATTCTGCTATATAACTATGGCATGCCCTCAACAGGAGAGAGGGACATCCACAGAAATGAGAGCCCATGCAGACTCAGAATCTGTTAGCTCTGTTGTGCTACTCTTCTGCCCTGGCCTAGCCACAGTCCTATTTGTTTTCTGCTAAAACATTCATTAACTCACTACCGAGTGGAGAGTGCCCTGCTTTCTTGACATCCAGTATAAGTTGATGCTTTTAGCATGGCATGAGGAGAGGAAAGAAATGCCTATATTCACCAGAAAGATGATCGTCCTTAGTCCTTAGTCATTAGCTCATCATGATCACATCATTACATTATTTTTGGTAACATCATATGAAAGACATTGCCTCTCTTTTGAAGACCTTTGGTTCATGATAAGTTCAACAAAAATGACTTCCAAATATCGTGGCAGAACACTTCTCACCCTGGTGTGGCCTCAGGGACCACAAAATGACTACTTGCTCATTATCAAATGAGTCCTCTGTACAAATAGAAAAGGTTTATTTTCAGAGATCTAAGAATAATTTGCTTCTGTATTTCTTTAGTAACTTCAACAGTGTCTATTTGGTGATATTAGTAGGTAACTAACTCCATTGCATTACTATATAATATGGTCATAAAGGTAGGAAAAGACAAGCAAATGTATGGTTTTGAGTATGTGGACAGACTGGGAATTTCCTAATAGAATGTCTTAGAATATACAGATACTGTCTAGCCTGATATGAATATCATTTTTTTCAGGAAGTTGTAAGAGAAATAAAGAGCTTTCTTCATCCTTTGGGGAGAATTTACAGAAACAACAAAAGTAGCTTAATAATTTATGTTTTGTGAGGATTTGTGTTAAGCTCTAGGAAGTGTCAGAATAGTTCATTTTTTTTTCAACTGCTGAATAGTAGTAGAGAGAATCTAGGGTGGGGTGGGCCAAATGGATTATGGCAATTGAATATGCTAGTTCCTTATCCTACACCTGGGAATAGACTACTTTTGTAGATCTTGTTATTTGCATTTTCTGATCTATTTTTCATGCTATTTGGGATCCTAGAAATTTTGTAAATGAGTCATAAATGAAAGATGAGTCTAATAGATATTTATTCCATTTTGGGTTTTCCCAACTTCCTTGAACAAACACCTATAACCTATTCTAGAATATTTACGATTAGTACAGATATTCTAAACAGATCTACCGAGATGTTAGACAAATCAAGTTTGCCCATGGGTGGCACAAGCTGAGTAGCCTTAGGTAATTGTTTTCACTTTGGTTAAACATCTGGCTTCCCTTTAGGAGCCTGATAAAAACAAACTCCCAGGTATTTTCTTCAAAGCAAACAAATCGAATTGAATACACACAATTGTGTGAACTTCTGAAAACAGTATGTTAATTACTAAGCTGACATATTACACATGTTTGCTGAGTGAATATGGGTCAGCAGGCATTCAGCTTGTACATAGAGGGTAGGCTCTGGATTCCATGCTGTGATGGATGGTGTGCACAATCAGCTACCAAAAACATTTTGAGTAACTTCTGTTTATCACATTGGTAAGAAGGAAAAGAAAAATATTCATTGTAAAATAGAAGAACAATAATATCTTACATTAGGTACCAATACCCATCTTAAATAAGACAAAAATCTACTGTCATAACTCATCACTTTATATCTATACTTTCAAGGGACAGCTTAAAGTATAGATGTGGGATGAAATCTTTTCTGGCTTTAAGCATGCTTTTATTTTTTTCCTCACTACCCATACGTAATGTATTATGCCTGTTAAAGCATGAATTCTAGGTCCAGTATTGTCTACCAAACGTTATTATATACTAGCTAATTAAATTCATCCATTCACTCATCCAATAAATATTTAAGATCTTACTCTGAGCAAGGTCCTGCTCTAGGTATTTAAGATAAAGCAGTGAAAAAAAACAGAAAAAATTCAGAACCACATTATGACATTGCCTGAGTCCCTCCCTCCCTAAAATACACGTTAAAATGATATTTTACAAATGCATTGTTATAAAGATGGTTACATAATATATGAAAATGTGTTTTCACCCCAAAAGTTTATTTTTTCTTCTAATTTTAAGAGAAATTAAACATAAACATACTTATGGGCCCCTAAAAGTACTACAGGCCTAGACACTGTGCCTCTGGTGCCTAATGGAGGAGTTGGAATGAAAATCCTACCCTCATGGAGTTTACAACCAAGATTAGTAGCTAGAAAACAAATAAAGTCATAAAAGTTAGACCATATATATATATATAATATATATATGTATATTAGATAGTAATAAATTCCAAGGAAAATTTAAACCAGGAAACACCAGTAGTATAGTATGTAATTTTAATTAGGATAGCCAGAAAAGTCATCTTTGAGAGGTGACATTGGTATAAAGATCTGATTTTATTCAAATTATTTTTTCTCATTGAGATTTTATAATTATAAAATCATAAAATTTTAAAATGTAAAATTTCATGGAGAATTATTAAATTGTATTATCACTGGAATGATGAAAACTTATATTTTTCTAACTTTAAACAATTTTCTGTGAGCTACAAATATGGATACACAAACATGAAGAGTGCACATGGACATGAGCAAAAATACAGCATTCTTGGCTGTTTTAATATCTACAAGGTTTATATCTTTGTATCTATATTTAAGGACAGTCTATAAATGAGACAATGTAAGAAAACTTGTAATATGGTATCAAAAATGGGAGGATTTTAAATATAATCTCAATTGTTTATAGTTCCTCTAATGCATTTGTGCAACATTTTCTGGAAGAGAACAAAAGGGAAAAGATAGATTTTGCCCTGCATTGTATGTTTGAGCATGGTTTTTCTCTCTTAGAGGATAAAGTGTATTATGAAGTTTATCCTCACTTTCCAATTTTCTCCTGAAGAATAACTTGTCCCACAAACAGATCTACTACAGGATCACATGTGCAAAGCATCCTATCAGCTATGCAGGCACATACTTAATAATTTGAGGATCTTTAAATGACATCTCTGAACACTAGTTAACTAGAACCATGGGCATGTGGCCCAAAATACAGGGGTTGAGCATCTGTTTCAAGTCCAATCACCTACTCTTGTTTCAGAAGACAATTTCTGTTCTTTTATCGGGAAATATCTAGTTGAGAGATGCGTATCTCAACTCAACCATGTGCTATAGCATTCCTATGTTCCACATATGGGTTGGCTCTTGGAAAAGTCAACAGTATAGGATTATTTTTCCTGAACTATTTAGCAACCCATTCCTCCAAAATATGAACCAACTAGTCCATAAAACAACATACACACACCACTGCATGCACATGCGCACACCTTTCCTCTTCCTGACTTTAAAGTAGGTTTTAGGCTTGCACTTGAGAGAGCTACCATCTCAGCCTTGGATTCAGCATTTAGCATGCTTCCTTAGAGTGTGTTTCACACCCAACTCCATAGTGATCATTTTAAAGAGCAGTTTGTTTCCTGAGGAAGCTTTTGTGGTTGACCAAGAGATACGTTATTGTTCGCAAACACCCACTTGCTTTATGTGGTTCTTCAAACTAAGAAACGTTCTTACTGTCTCTATAATTCCTCCTCATTTCTCTTTTTCATGATGAATCTTTGTAGGGACAAAAATTCCCTAAAACCTCCTTAGCCAAGTATAGCTGAAAGCTGCAGCTAGGAGTGATTTATAAAATCACAGCTAATTTCTTGTGCCTGAAAGCTGGGACCCACACTGCAGCCTAGATTTTGTTGTGACTCTCGGTAAGAATGTTTTATGCAGGGACTTCTCATTTTAATATCCCATGCTTGACCTGCCTGATACCTTATTAAGGCGTTTTATTTCACATTCATAATGTTCCTTCTCCTCGTTCACAAGAGCATTTTTTTCCTTTAAAAGCTTATTCTCTTCCTTCAATTCATGTAATTCTTCATTTAGGCGTTCCTTTTCCTTCTGAAGTAAAGACCAAGAAAAGAAAAGAAAAATCAGTACAAGTCGAACGAGATGATATTGTAGGAATTCTGATATATCGGCCGTGGCAGGCAGATTGAGGGGTCACCCTTCTGAAATACAATAAAAACAGGACCTGCAAGACTTTAACTTAACGTCCCACTTGAGCGATATTCTTTGGATGAATGCTAGAATTAGGATTGAAGGAATCTTTCTTTTACCAGAATTTACTGAAGTATCTTAGAAATTTTGCGACCCCAGGGGAAAAAAAAAATCAAATTTCCCAATTCTGGTTTTTTTTGTTTTGTTTTGTTTTGTTTTTGTTTTTGTTTTCGTTTTTGTTTTTGTTTTTGTTTTTGTTTTTTAAGATGAATTCTCACATTGTCGCCTGGGCTGGAGTGCAATGGTGAGATCTCGGCTCACTGCAACCTCCGCCTCCCGGGTTCAAGTGATTCTCCTGCCTCAGCTTCCCTAGTAGCTGGGATTACATATGTCTGCCACCACGCCCAGCTAGTTTTTTATATTTTTTAGTAGAGACGGGGTTTCACTATGTTGGCCAGGCTGGTCTCAAACTCCCGACCTCGTGATCTGCCCGTCTCAGCTTCCCAAAGTCCTGGATTCCCAATTCTTACTTTCAATTGTCAAATAAATGGGTCTGCAGGATAAGCAAGTCCCTATGTACTGTTACTAGGTGATGGATAAGCGATTAAGAAACATAGCTGAAATGGCAGAAAGAAAAGGCTTTCAGCTATTTCTTACTGTCATTGTAAGAAAACAATCCGAAATGTCTCAAAGCTCATTCCTGCATCATTCTGTATTAGAAAGAGGGAAAAGAGAATAATCTTTAGGCCAATAAGACCCTTCATTACAGATCTTATTTAGAGCACTCTATTGTTGTGATTATTATTTTTAAAAGGGAGAAATCAACTAGTCCAACTGCCACCACTTCTCCATGTTTTAGATTATCATCCAGAAGTGCAGTGTTTTAAACAACTGAAGGTTAGCTGCTTAAACATCAACAGGCTCTGGATTCAGACACTATCTCCCACCTCTTAATTTTGTATAACAGATAGCAAACATTTTGTGAAGTAAATTGGATTCTTAGTGAGATTGAGATTTTAACCCAGTAAAATAAATATTGCAGAAAATAGGTAACTCAACATGCAGAAATAACTAATATATGTGTTAAAGTGTATTATTTGAGCAACTCATATTTCCCAATATGATTACAAAATTTAAGAAATCCGCTTTAGGTAATTCATTTTCTTTAAAAGGGAAAATATTTCTACTTGCTTTTATTTAAATAGAATGAACATATACACTTAGAAAATAAGCCAATTATTTTCTAAGTTAGCATAATTTAAGAGAAAATTATTCCAATGAGAAAATGGTCCCAACTGCATTGAGGGAAAAATTACTCAGATTCCTGGCTAGGATGTAATTGGAAAAGGAAATGACTGCTACATGGCAGAAAGGGAGTGTTGCTAAACTCTGCTTTCCTGACTCACTGTGACAAAGACATCCTCAGCAAGGTAGGAAAACCTGGACTGGCATTGTCTGTGCTAATTTTAGACATTGCGTTAAGATTTCTACGTTTTAAAATATTGCCAATGCCTCACGATATCAGTAATAAGACATTCCCTCAGAGTCTTTACACTTTGTTTTTTCTTACTATACCTAAAATAACAAGGGACCATTAGAGTTTAAGGTTTTCTCCCTTTTTCTACAATATTCATGAAGTCCTATAATGGAAAGTAAAACCAGGACAAAAAGAGTGTTTTTTAGGAAAAGCTGTCATCTCAACACCATCCAGTTCTCAGCAAGGGACTGATGGAGCTTTAGAATCTGGAGGTTGGGTTCCAGTCCCTTTTTATCAATGTGGGCAATTCAATTTGTTTACATCTCAGCTTTCTCATCTTTAATATAGCAAAAATAATTATTTTGCTGACAGGTGGGCCGAGAATGTTAAATGAGATAATGAGGATGAAGCCTTTTAAAAATGTCATAAATTTATGGTTACAGAAGTAAAACCTCATATGTAAATCTCTCTGTAAGCTTGAAAAGCTATTGCACAAATACAAAGTACTGCCATATTATTATTATGAACACTACTAATAAAAATAATAAATACGAATAAAAGCAAAAGAAAAAAAATAATTTTCTCTTAGGCTGAAATGCCCTAGAGAGTCAGCAAATCTATGGATCGGTTTTCTTCTTCCTGGAAGGGCCTGGGGGATGACTGTCTGCCTATTTATGCAACCAGGAGAAACCCGGCAGAGAATCTCCTTCCTTCTTGTTCTAGAGAAGCCACCCTTGTTCATGGCTCTTGGGGACTTGCGTAACCCATACACCCCTTGCACATCGGTCCTTGCTCAGTAGTGAGTTGATTTTAATAAAACGGTAGGTTTTCTAAAGGAAATCCCCCCGCCCCCTTGCTTTTACTTGGATCCTCTGGGCTCGAGAACCCGGGCCCCGCCCACCTCCTCCCGCTGCAGCCGGTCCCGGGTCAGGTCGCGCTGCGGGTCGTCCTCTCTCTGCCTGTCGTCCTCTCTCTGCCTCTCATGCCGCTCCTTCTCTCGCAGGCTGAGGAATCTTTCTGCGGCGTCCAGTTTCGTCTTCAGCTCTGCTACCTGAGGAGGTCGTTCACAGACAGCTGCAGATACCTTCTCTGAAGCTCACAAGCCCCTGGATTTATTCCCAGGGTATGAACTTTGGACAGAAACGCCCCACCCCAGGACGTCCCCTAAGGAGAGGTCCTAGTTCCCACCGTCCCTAACACAGATCGGGATACTCGCGTTTCAAAGGGAGCTTGGCCTTGCACCAAAACAGCCTTCAGCTCTTCCTTCTTTTCTCCAAACCACCCCTACTTCAGAGGGAATAAAAGACTTAGACCACACCCAGGGAATTCTCTAGGTTTATTATCCTATTCTCAACTCTCCAGGCGAGCCTAGCCTGGTCTGGAAAAGGCAATGAGGGGCAGCAGGTTAGGTAGAATATGCCTACACCAGAGAAAAACAGACATGGCCTTTAATCTATCAGTAATTTGCAGCATTTGAACTTCTACTAGGTGCCAAATCACTCTGATGATAGAGTGACAGGTCCTCAGAGTAACCACAGTCCAGAGCGAGAATCTTAGAGAGGGGTGCGTCTTCCAAGATGAGGATTATAGCCATCACTAACACTGTCTTCACACACCTGCAAGCCCTTCAAGAAAGCAGCTTCAGCATTCTCTCTGGGATCATCATCTTTAACATTTACAGACCGTATTGCCCCAGCAGGGATATTGCAAGGCTGCCTGACCATTGCCTGGTGCAGTGGGAACATTATCCTGAACATTTTAAATTCAATACTTTTGGGTAACAAAATGAGGAGGAAAGGAACAATGCTGCTATATTATAATACTCATGGTCAAGTTTCTTAATACTGAATTATTTAGGGGAAAGTACTTTCTCTCTTTATCTCTTTTTGAAGATAGAATAATTTTAAATTATAAATGGTCTTTTATGTATTAAAGGAGGTTTTCTTCCAAAAGCCCCTTTCTCACCAGAGCTTTTTAAGAGCAAACGTGCTTTAGATGGAAGAGGAGATTGCCCCATTTTTCCTCACACTTTCACTGTTATCACCATTTGTTTCTCTATTTGTGGAAAACAGCTCATGCTATCTAATTAAAGAATTAGGGCTAACGTGGCATAAACAGTGTGAACTTTAAACCATATCTCACCTCACATATAACTGCGCATTTGTGGCTTCTAGGGACAAAGGTAAGGCTGGGATACTCTGTGAGCCATGATAACTGTGCATAAGAACTCTTGAGACATCACTGGGGGGCATTTTTGCACTTTTCTTTAGCTGTTGTTCAAGATGACTCACTGACACCGTTCATTAATCTTCAGTGCCATGAGACCAATACTACACTCAGCACCCTCTCCCATCATTTTCCAACAGTTGGCTCTCCACAAAGCTCTTCGTAGCTGAAATCAATGAGACTCTTCACACAATTGGCCACACCAGGATAATGGATTTAAAGAAAATACCGAATAGAGAGAGGTATTTACCTTTCTTTCATATAACTCTTTCATACTTCTAAATTGCTGATCCCATTGCTGGTTAACTTCCAGGAGCTGAAATTATTAAAATTTGGGGCATCAACAAAGAATTTCTGCCCATTTGGAAATTTTGTAAAAAAGAAATTACTTTCTGAGCTTATTAAGATTTTAGAAGCCATGGATGAAGACAATATTTTTTTTCATCAAGTTCTGATTGTGCTGGGATGATTAAATTGAACACACTCTCACCTTTTCACAACTGGTTCTTATATGAAAAACTATTGGCCGGGCTCGGTGGCTCACGCCTGTAATCCCACCGCTCTGGGAGGCCAAGGTGGGTGGGATCACTTGAGGTCAAGAGTTTGTGACCAGCCTGCCCAACATGGTGAAATCCCGTCTCTACTAAAAATACAAAAATAAAAATACAAAAATACGTGGTGGCATGCATCTGTAGTCCCAGCAACTCAGGAGGCTGAGGCAGGAGAATCGCTTGAACCCAGGAGGCGGAGGTTGCTGTGAGCCGAGATCGTGCCACTGCACTCCAGCCTGGGCAACAGAGTGAGACTCCATCTCACGAAAAGAAAAGAGAGGAGAGGGGAGGGAAGGGGAGAGGAAAAACTATTAAGTCGTAGGTGTATCTTGACAAGGCAGCTGAACAGTTTATCAGTAACTTTTAACTTTTCTTAGTTATTTGAATTTTCATTTTCTTTGTTTAATCCAACCACAATCTGATAAAAATTTGTAAGTATTGATGATTGTCTGTAAGATTTCTTCATTCATGAAGGTTCTTTTCCCAAACTTTTTCATATTTTTCTATGTGCTTACACTGATTATAATGAAATATTTTTTCCAGCTCTTTTAAAGCAGAATTTATGCTAACAAAGCCTAGGCGCCATTAACTGATCATGATTTTCTTGCAATAATGTGCTTTAAAAGATTAACACATGATTTATAATAAATATTCAACAAATAGATAATATCACTATTTTGAAAATTTAGATTTTCAAGAAATTATAGTTTTGTCATAAGACAATATTTAGATGCATTTTAGGCTGAAAATAATTTAAAGATCTTAAAACTATCTGCTAATTAGAAGGCAGAAGAAATGCTATGATATGTGGTTAGCTTTTTGTTGGGGAAGTTTGTAGTTTTCTGCATTAAGAGAAATTCCAGCACTTATGGATATGGAACAGACGCTGAGAAGATAGTGGTAATGACTAAAAACTAGCAAGACTTTCTCCTAATTAAAAAGCAAATTACTGAATCCATAGTGGCAGTTACTGTCATTATTTAGTATGAAATTGTATATTATTATTATATCGAGAGTTACTTTGTTGGCATTTTAGGGATTCCATTGTGTATACTATAGTTACATTACTCTGCCGTAGTTTAGTAATTTTCCAGAAGGTCACAATATTCTTCGCAGTATCAAAGAAGAGTAGAAGGCACCATAGAAGAGAACATGAAAGATTTAATACACAGAATGAATTAGAAAAGGAATTACAGACTGGGCACGGTGGCTAACTCCTGTAATCCCAGCACTTTGGGAGGCTGTGGTGGGCAGATCTCTTGAGGACAGGAGTTCAAGACCAGCCTGCCCAAAATGGCAAAACCCATCTCTACTAAAAATACAAATATTAGCTGGGCATGGTCGTGCATGCCTGTAATCCCAGCTACTGGGGAGGCTGAGGCACAAGAATCACTTGAACCTCAGAGGCAGAGGCTGCAGTGAGCTGAGATTGTGCCACTGCACTGCAGCATGGGTGACAGAGCAACACTGTCTCAAAAAAAAAAAACAAGAAGGAATTACAAAATTGACAATATACAGAGTGCTAAAATTGTTATACTTTTCACTACTTCCTCTGTCAAGAAGAGTAAAGAGGTTCTAACATTCATTAAGCTCAGAAAAATAAAACTCAAAATAATACCCATTAATTCCCAGGAACATTTTAGAAACAAACTTTATTTATGACAATGCTTTCTAACTCCCATGTGTTTGGATGCCCAAACCCTGAAGTCATAGCACCTAAATCAACCATACTTAAAGACTTTTCAAGTAACTCAAGAAACCTTGAGTTCCAACGTGTGTGAAGTTGCAAGGCATAAAGGGTAAAGGTCATAAGCCATAAAGGATAAAGGCATAAAGGATAAAGTCACTTGGTCTGTGTGGAGGAAACATCTAAGTTTTGAGAAAATTAGGATTATGTTACCAGACTTATTACTTTGTCATTTTTCATTCATCACTGCACAGACACTGAGACAAGTATGAGACATACAGGTGAATAAGAAAAAAGCATTTGCTCTCAAAATAGTGCAGTCCAGTATCTTAAAGATAAATACTGTGACCTGATAACAAAAATAAAAGGCACAAGGATAATACATTATTTTATCCTCAACATTAATCCATGGCACCTGTGGTTTTAGCGAGTATTTCTAAGTTACCTCTTTTCTCTGTTTTTCTAAACACCTTATCTTTTGTTCAAGAGAATTTGTCAAGTTCTTTCTTGTTGATGATTCAGCACACTTAAAAAAAAGAAAAGAAAAGAAAAAATTGAAACAAAACTGTTTACAAAATAAACAGAAGTACTGCTCCTCACAAACACCATGCATTTGGCCAACTCTCCTGTTGCGATTTATAAAAATACCTGATTCTAGCAGTAATAATCCTCACACCCTAAGTCCTTCACAGTGGCTGGTGGAGGAATCAGTTCGTATTATGTTTTAGAATCCTTTATATAAATTAGTTACCATAATAATTCTGTAATAAATTATAAATATATCTATATACTATAAAGGGTAAGTCAGAGATTAAAATTTTATGAATTTGGATTTCAATCCTTTTCCAAAAAAATGACAATTAAGAAATCAGGTAAGTTTCCTGGATATATTTTAGGCATTTTTATAGTAAACATTTCAAAAAAGTCATTTTGGTAGCTGTGCCCATGAACATGTATGTGAGTAATATTCTGAAAAGTAGACCCAGTAAAAGTCAGAGGAACGACAGAATCATCAAGAATAAAGACAAACACATACAGCTATTACTGTGTAATTACTGTGTAATTTTAGCCAGCTCCTTGAATAAAGTCACTAGGTTACTAGTTTAGATTAATAATAAATTACTGTCATAATGAAAAGTTTACCACCTTTCTTTTCAGTTATTTTTTTTTCAGGAGTGAGAGTATTCATTTAAAGGTAACACAAAAGCTGTGGAAACTGTCTGCCATCTGCCTAAATCAACTAAGAACAACATTTACTTAAATGAAGGACTGATTCCTCTATAATAATTCAATAATCTTACTACTATCTCATCCCAGAGTCATATAAGTAACACAATGAATTGGGTGATGGGAGTAGTTCCTACATCTGTAATCAGTTTCAGCCTTATTAGTTACTGTGGGCCACTAAATTGCTTAAAGTTGTTCATGAACAATTAAGAAATATTTTCAGAACATGTTGTGGTCTTTGCCAAAAATGTGTAGAGGAAATTGTTCTTTTGCAATCATCATGGTATTTCAAGCACTTTTTTCATCAGAAATTATTTATAAAAGTGTATTTTCTATCTTTTCTCTGTTTATTTGTGTTTCGGCATTTTAGGGTTTGATGGTATTTTATGTAAGCATAGATGTTCTCGTTTCCTTAGCTTCTTCCTATTTAGACCTATGTTACAATTAAGACCACATTTAAAAAGAGACAGTCTTCTATGGGTAAATAAATTCTGAATGATTATATTTGCTTTTGACCTCAAGACACTGGTCTGGCTGAGCACCAAGAGTGACACTGAAACCCAAATGTCAATATGTTGGGGCCTGTAGTTGGATCTTCTTCTTTTTGGGAAGACTTCCAAGAAACTAGACCCATTCTGGGTTAGAACAGACTAACCATTAAGCGTCTTTGATCTGGAAAATGCTGTGAGCCAACCCTACTTAGTGTATCTTGAGGTCATCAGCAAAGTAGGGCCATAGTAAGACTGGATTTTAGAACAGTGGTTCTCACCAAAAGAGCACATCAAAGTCACCGTTAAGCTTGCTAAACGTCAAGCATCCTGAACAGTGGATCAGAATTTCTAGAAGAGCAGCCAGGGCACCTCTATTTCTAATATATTTCCTAGGTAATCTTGATTCACACTAAAGTTCAATATACTCGCATTCTAGGGAATAAATTATGGGTGCTCAAAAATGGCTCCTCTCTGTTTGTGATGTAGACAAAAATCTGTGATTGGCAAGCATTTGTATGTCCCTGACTTTGGGAACCCAGATGTGGAACAATGAGACAATGTGCTTTTTGTTTGTTTCCCCATAAATAATTTTCTCTGGAAGAAAATTATAATATGTTTCACGCTTGATTTTTCTTTTATAAATAAAAATTACTGAAAATCTAGATACCAAATCTGCAAGAGACTCTATTTGTAACTGCAGGAGTACTAGTTTTTGAAATTCATAAGTAATATTCAGTTATAAGTGGGGGAGGATAGGAAGGAGGAAAGATAGAAAACATAGTGAATAGGAATGGCATGTAAGTCACAAACGTATCACCAGAGCTTTCTCTGGAGATTAATCAACATTTTGCTATAGTTCATATGTCTCAGGTTTCTATAAAATAAAGCAAAATTAATCAAATACAAAGGTTTGGGGGACCTTTTCCTTTGTATTTACTTTGCTTCGCAGTGCCTAATGAAGGCATCTGATTTGCAGTAACTACAAAGATTTTCAGTCATTGCTTCTAGTAAGGGCTGCTTACAGAACAGTTATTCCCTATAAATAATTTCCTATAATTATTCCCTGTAAAGTAGAATTTGTGTTCAAAGCATATGGGCACTTCTTTCTCTATGATAGCATCCTTACCAATGTATATTCAAGGTCTGATGCTACTAAATTAAAAACTTAAATGAACAGAAGTTTCCATTTAGTTTCCCATTATACCTTGGTTATCTGTAAAAGAAAACTAGAAAATATTTGAATTCATTCATTCAATTAGCAGTAGTCTCTATTGCTGAACAAAATCTATGGTACCAATTGTAAATATATAAAAATGTTACTACAGATACTCTATTGTTAAAAATATGTTCTATTTCTACCCACACCAATATAGTATTCTTTTTAGATTTTATATAGAACCAAATACCTCTAAATCAAGAACAAAATAAGGAACCCACAGAATTGGAAGGCTGAAAGGAATTGGAAGGCTGAAAGGAATTTAAGCCCAGTGGGTTAAAAGCAATGTACTGGTTACTTAGATTTTTTTTTTCTATGTTACATAATATTGGTTAAAACTATAGAGTAAATCTTAGCTAAAGAAAGCAAACTAGCCATTTCTATTCTTATTAAGTGCAAAATTAACCACTAGAAATGCCATCAATGCTAGATGTGATCAACTCATCTCCTAGAAATATGTTCTTACCTCGTTATGCTCTGTAGAACGTTCTGCAGCAGTCATTCTAGATGTGCCCTGTACAAAATGTGCCATGGAAGCTGTTTTTCCTGGAGTCTTGGAAAGCAGAAAGAAAAAGAGGGGAAAAATGTATCTTATGATATATTTTAGGGTGAGAGCAAATATACAAAATTTAAAAAACACACATCACCATTAACTCAATAGAAAATAGCAGCAATAGGTTTTCATTAAAAATGAACAGAAGTGACTGTGGATAGGAATTACACAGAATAAAGTTATAAGCACTGCAACTGTGATTTTAACTTTTCTTCTCTTCCAAATAGGGATTTCCCAGGATGTCTCAAATAGGCAGGCTGTGACTAAGACCTGGGGCAGATTAGCCTTGCTATGGTATGTAAATCGTCATTCTTCCTTTACTGGCAGTTTCTCCCACTGGAGGAGGAAGTTCTCCACCACAGAAAGCCTGGGCAATCCAAGTGTTTCCTCAGTAGCCTAACTGCTATAAATTCATTGTATTTCCCAGAGCAATTAGGTAACTGTTGACTTTTTGATAGCTCAGTTTCCCTAAAGGCAAGATTTTCTGGCAATGCCTTCTAAATGTGAGTGTAGCTTGGTAGAACTTAATGAGTCATACATAATTCTATAAGTGCCACTAATTCTTATAGAAGTAAAAGGGAAAATAATTCATCAGAAAGAAAATAGGCATTGTTTGCAAATCTAATCTTCTGTATTGGCAGAAAGGTTAAACTTGCCTCTCAAATTTAAGACTGTCTTTTCTATAAATCAAGTCTAGATTTTCTCCATGACTCATTTGAAGTGAAATCTTCTCATGGAGAATCTTTTTAGTTTTAATTAGTTGACTGCTGTCATTTTAGGGGCCTTGAGGTAATGGAGCACTACTGGGTGGTACAGATAAAAGCGTGGAAATGGCAGATACTTGGAGCTACATAAATGAACTGCGATGGAACAGAAGACCTCATTTTGGACTTGGAACGAAAAAAAAGGAGGCAAGGAATACAAAAAGGGAAAGAACGTGTAACTAAAAGGAGAAAAGAATTTATAGTCAATCATTTAACTTCATTAGACCTGCCTATGAGATATTCACATATATATAGGATAAAGCCGTAAACTCCTAAAATTCAAAAGGGAGTGATTGAGTGTCCCACATTTGGCCCTCCCATTTCTCCTGAATATCTCCCCCCACTCTCCAACTCTCCCCTGTGCTCCAACCATCCTGACTGACCTCCCTTTCCTGAAATGAGTGAGCTGGTTCTACGCCCCTGAGCTCTGTGCATGCTGTTCTTGCCACCTCAGATGTCTCCTCTCCGGGCTCTCCATCCAACCTTGTGGCTGGAGAAACCTACAGTCAGTGCTTCTATTTCCTTCTGATCTTCTCTTGACCTCCTCTAATCAGCTAAGAAGAACCCTTCATCATGCATTATGATTACATATTTCCATGTTCCTGTATTCATCTCTGTGTCCACAGCAGCCAGGCACTGAGCTGTCTGGCACACAGCAGGCGTTCAACGCATTTTGCTACATGAATAAATGGATGAATATCTATATAATGATATACCAAATCAATGAACTTTTTGCTAGTTTGTGTGTGTGTGTGTGTGTGTGTACTTTCTTCTGGTTTCTTGTTATGTTTTGGTCTATGCTTGAGTGAAAGGGAGTGACGCTGCTTTAAGGCAAAATCCAAAAATACAGGTAGGAGTCAAATTGTTCATTCAGGGTTCTGAAAGTAAAAGTTACAACTCACATAAGATCTGACTTTAGGGTATAGAGGCCGCGATTTCCTGAACTGACACTTTATCAACGCTAAAATCTGCTCATCAGAAAAGAAAAAGAAAACTCTATTGTAAAAATATTTTTCTTCTGAAACATACCACGCACATACACATTCCACAGTTTTATACAGTTTAAGGTTCCCTTCAGCTTTAACTTTGTATTTGGTAGTAATAAACTAGGGATGTGGTAACATTGACCCAGAAAAGTGGGTCGGAAGAACATTTTCTGGCCAGGAAATACCATCCTTGGCATTGTGCCTCTTGAGTCTCCCCTGTAAAGTATCCTGATGCACATACATTGTTAGATGCGATGGCTTCTATTAAATGGAAATTCTATACCTTTACATCTTTCATTACAATTCCTTTTCCTCTTCTACTATGCAGATAAACAACAAACAGGTTTTCCATTAGCTCAAGAGAGCCATATGATTATTTATGAATAAGTAATAACTCTTCTGAAGAACCACAAGTTTGGTTTCAGAAAAACAAAACTTTCAATAGGCCATCCCTAAGAATTAATTGGGTCTTTTCTGTTACATATGCTCTCTTCACTTCACCTCCATCCCTTTCACATTGTGCCACATATTTTAAGAGTCTGGCTTTGAGTCAAGCTTTGTTTCATGAGAAGTCTCGCTAGCTGAAATCATTTTCAGAGAGACAGAGGTGTCATTCCATGTTTCCAAGGCTATTGTGAAGAGTCTTCATTTCTGAAGTCAATATTATACAGATGAAATAAAAATATTATAATAATATACAGATGAAATAAAATTAAAATTAAAATTATGAAAGGGAAATGTGGTAAAGGAACAAGGACTACCAGTCACTGGTCTATAACCATCATTCTAGTGGACAATAATTATCTTAAAATTAGTCCAAGAGGAGAGCACGGTATTTCTACAAGTTATCAGAAGCATTCTTTGGCAGGTAAAAGAAACGTGGCTTTTTCCTTTGTATGCTTTTAGAATGGGAGCTGAAAAACCTTGTTTGTTTCCTGAATCTATTTGCATGAATTTTTAAGTGTATGTGCTATGCAGGTGGGAAAGAGAGGATCAGTAATGACTAGAAGATCTAGCTCTAGAATGTGATCTGGATTCACAGCTTGGCTCTACTACTCCCTGATTGCGAATTTGGTCATGTAAGATGCTTAAGGTCTCTAAGGCTCAATTTCCATTTTATACGATGGAATAGTAATAGTATTCTCCCAGGGTTGCTATGTGAGCTTAGATAGTAATAAGAATTTGACTCTAAAGATAGGGCCATCAATCAAATTATTTATGAAACAAATAATATGACAAAAGGAAAGGGAAACCCACAATTTATGCATCACTCACTCTGTACTTGACATTGTGTGGGTTCCAAAGGAAAACAAAAGCAAAATTCCCTGCTTATGATGAAATGTACATATACATACACACATGTGTGTGGCTGTGTGTGTGTGTCAATATATATACTTGAAAAACTAAACAGTAAATGAAAACTGGGAAATAAATGATAAAGACAATAAGGCCTGTAAGAATTCAGAGGAGAGAGTGTTCATTCTCACCTTTAATAGCTATGGAAAGAGTCAGAGTTTCTGCTGGGGCTTGAAGGATAGATAGGATTTTGATAGAGAGTGAAAGCTGAGCTATAAATGCTATAAAGGGAGCAAAGTAAGAAACAGAACACAACTGGACAAACTTAGGTATGAAGGATTCTGACAAATCCAGTTTAACTAGAATAGGGTCCGTGTGGCATTTCTAAAGTTGATTTGGATGAAAACAAAAAATATTTTAATTTCAGATTAAGACATGTTGACCTTATAGGCCATAGGGAGTTACAAAAGACCTTTGGGCAAAGGAATTACATGATCAAAGTGGTTTTTTAATTGGTTTTAGTTCATCATGTATTAAATGGGAGAGATTGGAAACTGCAATGTAGTTAATATTGCAATGTAATAATATTAGCAAAACTAATATTCAAAATGTTTATTTCAACAGCTTGTGACAATCAAAATATTTAGCAATCAGTTCACCAGGGGAACTAGGAATGGACCATACCCCTGGACTCGAGACTCCTATATTAATTGCTTAATTGTCATCTCCGCTTGTATGCATAATAGTTGCCTCCTTCTTTACCTGACCTGTTTGATCAGGATAACTTAGTTTATGATTTTCCCTGCAAAACTTGCCTTCCCTCTTACAATTAATAACACCTTTTATTCTCCAGATTGAAAATCTTGGAGTCATCCTTGACTCCTCTTTCTCTTACATCCTGTATCCAATCTACCTGAACATTTTGTAGGCTTTTTGAAAATATATCCAGACAGGGGAGGAACACATTACCCACAAAAGCCTAGAGACTTCTCAGTTTAATGAACAAGTGGCAAGGTGAAATAAACTTACCTTTTTTTTTTTTTTTTTTTGAGACAGAGTCTTGCTCTGTCACCCAGGCTGGAGTGCAGTGGCACAATCTCGCCTCACTGCAACCTCTGCTTCCCAGGTTCAAGCAATTCTCCTGCCTCAGCCTCCCGAGTAGCAGGGATTACAGGCATGTGCCACCACACCCAGCTAATTTTTTTGTAGAGACAGGGTTTCACCATATTGGCCAGAGTGGTCTCGAACTCCTGACCTTGTGATCCACCCGCCTTGGCCTTCCCCAAGTGCTGGGATTACAGGCATAAGCCAACATACCCGGCCTTTTTCTTTTTTGTTTTCTATTTTTTTGTTTTGTTTTGTTTTTGAGACAGAGTTACATTCTGTAGTACAGGCTGGAGTGCAGTGGTGAAATCATAGCTCACTGTAAGCTCCAACTCCTGGGCTCAAGCAATCCAGCTGCCTCAGCCTCTTGAGTAGCTACAGTTGTATACCACCACGCCTGGCTATTTTTACCTTTTCAATTTTTGTAGAGATGGGGCCTCACTATATTGCCCACACTGGTCTTGAACTACTGGCCTCAAATGATCCTCCCACCTCAACTTCTCAAAAAAAAAAAAAAAAAAAAGCCTTTTAATAACTTTTTCAAAATGAGGACTTTAATATTTGCTTCCTGATTTTATTCATAGGAACATTTTTAAGAACGTATCCAGCAGTGACTGATCTCTGGCTGTTTGTCAAACCTAGTTCCACCACTTGCTAGTTATGTGACCCTGGGCAAGATGATTGGCATTTTTGCATTGACCCCCATCATCTCTTAGCTGGATTATTGCAATAACCTAAGGGCTTTCCTGCTTCTATATTTGCTCCTACTCCCCCACCCCCACCCATTATTAATACAGTGGCCAATGTGAGGCTTTTAAAATGTCATTTCATGCTCAGAACCTTTCAGTGGCTTCCCATGTCACTCAGAGTGAAAGCAGAACTCTTTACGGTGGCTAGCAAGGTCCTACACAATCCAGCCCAGGCCCTTCTGACCTCATTCTTGGTATCCTTCTGTTAGTTCATTCTGTGCCATGTCCTGGCCACGCTGTTGCCCCTTGAACCTACTCTCTCTTGCCTAGAACTATCTTTTCCCTAGATGTCCACATGGTACATCCCCCCACCTTTGACAGGTAATGGTGTAAGTGACATCTGTTTATTGAGTCTTTACTTGGCCTCCCAATGTAAAATTGCTCTCCACCCCAGCACTTTCCATTCACCTTTCCTGCTTTATTTTTCCATAGCACTATATTTTCTTCTTCTTTTTGTTGATCGCCTCCTGACACTAGATTGTAAACTCCATGCTAGCAACTTTTGTGTGTTGTGTTCACTCTGTATTTCTCGAGGCTAAAGTAGTGCCATTTTAGTGCCTGCGCATGTTCACATGGGACTCAGACACACACAAATTGCCTTCTTTACCCTGAAACAAATTTATGATGTTCTCAAATCAGGTATCTTCTCAAGAGATATGAGATCTAAAGATCAGAAACTTCAACTTTTTGGCTTCCAACTAGTAAATCACCTCTCTTTGTTCCCCCAAACCTGGTTTTGAACAAGCAGAGTCAGGGGATGGGGTGTCACAGATTCCATAGCCTCTTGGGGGATATATGTTCACGTCCCTCCTGGTTGGAACTCTGAAACAATGCTCCTATGCAATATAGTGAGGTTGTTTGCAGTCTGTTTTGATTATACACTTTTAGTTCTTAGGGCACATCAGATACATTAGAAGGCAAATCGGCTTTTGTTGACGAGTCTGTAGCCTCTATAAAACTGCAGACTTTGTGAAATCCGTGTTTAGAGATTTCTGACTGCCCCACAAAGCAGTAAACAATCTGACCCACCTTGACCATCAGCTCCTCTGTGAAGTCTCCCCTGGTCCTCCAGAGTGGAGTTAGCTACTTCCTTCCTGAGATCTCATGGTGCTTTGTGAAGCATTAACTCTTGCACTTATTGTAAAGCAGCTGTTAATTGTATGTTCCCTTCCCCTCTGAGATGCTATAAGCTTCTTGAAGATGAGGTCAGTATTTATCATTTTAGCCTTGGGAACTACCACAGTACCTTCAGGGTACAGAGTAGTAGTACAATACATTTTTATTGAATGGGTCCATTTGTGTACGAATCTATAATACAAAATCATAGCACACCCCTGCTTTTCAGAACACAGTCCAGAACACACAATGACCACAGGGATACACAAAGTTACAGGCTTTGCCTCCAAACCAGAAATGATCAGGTAGAACTGTTAACACATGTTTAAAGAGCTGGCCTGTTTCCGTGTATTTACTTTTTATTCATTTTATAGGCAAATATTTTACTTTATCCTATTTTGGTTACGTGATCAATATTCTTTAGCGTTCATACAAATGCCTTTTAAAATTTT